ATAGCACTTTTATCTTGGGAGTAACTAACAGCTGTCTAATTGGACTTAAGGCCTACTCAAAAGAAAGGATTTTGGGGCTGGTACTGCAAATTTATGGTTAGAGGGGTCACAGGCCCTAGATAGAGAACCCACCCCTGCCATGTTCCTAGGCCAATGTAATTCCTAACTGTATTGTAAATACTTGTCCATATCCCCACAGATAAGTGCAGCCCTCACCCTCACCCAAGGAGCTTCTTTAGAGCAAACAGTGTACTTCCTGACCTGCTTCAGCTCTTGACTAGAATACACCTGTGGCAGAGGGCCACCCCACTCACCCCAATGCAGTAGCCATTCTGCACCTCCTGCTTCTTCCCTGCTGTACAGTTTACTTACCTTGTTTGTATTCTACCTCAATATAAAATATAACATCCTGGAGAGGCAGTGACTTCCAGCACTGCTATTCAGGCACCTAGAACAATACCTTACATACAGTCAGAAGACACTTAGTGACAGAATAAAAAAATCACGTGCATTAGTGAGGGCGAAGGCCATGTCTATTCTTATTTGCCATTCTATATCTCCAGCACACTGCTCAGCAAACACCTGCTGAACCAAATGGGTAAAATGGAGAAATTTATATGCTAGGATTTACTAATAGAAGTGTAAGAATAAAGACTTATCATTTCTAGTCAATCCTCAGCCCAGAATAACTGCATTATCACTTGCTGACAGTGAAGTCTTGAGTTACTTCTTTTGGAAAAGGGATCTCAGTTTGTAGCCCTGGCTGGCCTGGAACTCATTATGCAAACCAGGCTGGCCTCAAACTCACATTGACTCACCTGCCTCTGCCTCCCAAGTACTAGGATTAAAGACACAGATCACCATGATGAGCACCTTCCACTCCCCCTCCCCACACACACCCTTTATTTTTTGAGGCAGGGTCTCATATAGTCCAGGTAAGAAAGCTTAAATTCAAGGCCAGCCTAAATTGGAAACAAAGCAAGACTCTGTCTTAGAATAAAAAATAAAAGGCGAGATATGTAACTCAGTGGTGGGGGTGCTTGCCTAGCACATGAATAAAGCCTTGAGTTCAATTTTTAGTACCACAGATAAAAGAGAACCTGACCTAGAAAGTGCTTTACAGCCCTGGGGATGTCCAGTGGGAGATTACTTGCCTAGCATGCACAAGACCCTTGCTTCAATCCCCAGAGCTGCATAAACATAAATAAATAAACAGCTATGGCCACCAAAGCTTGAGCTCTGAAAGCAGAAAGAATGCTGAATCATGCTGCTCCTACATATAACAAATGCTAACACCGCCCCCTTTTCGGGGTCAAACTCACATTCCCTCTCGGATGATGATGAGTTTCTAACTGTCCTGATAATGCTTCTGACCTGAGGATGGCCAGAGAGCTTAACTATCGATAGTAAACGGAACTCCGATTACATTAACCTGTCTTCATATAATAGCTCCTCATATGAACATACATATCTAATCATGAACCCCTAAACACAGGCACTAACTACATTAAATACCTTGTGTCCTTTCAGTATTAACCTCATACTTCAAATTAGGCAACAAACACTACCCAAAGGCCTACTATGTACTAGTTATGAAACAAATATTTGAGGGATCCTGTATATGGGGGGATGTCAGTCTTGTACAGAGATAATTACAGTGAAACACGAGTGTCACTCTGATGTTATTTGGTAGCAGGTGGAAGAGTGTCTCCATGGGGATGGAGCAGGGAGCTTGGGAAAGACTCCAGTGACTTGAGCTAGATTTGAGGGATGAATGGAATTCTACCATCTGGGAGGAACCAGATGGGACCTCAGACTGATATTTTAGTGGAATCCCAGGAATCATAAGACAACAGTGAAGCCAGCATCGACTCCCACACAAAAAGCCAGGAAGACCCAGAGTATGATTGTAATTTCTGGCTGGTGCTGTGTGCACAATGACCTCACTGTGTTTATGGTAGATAATAAGGAAAAAGAACATAGCACAAACCACACATATATGTATAAGTACCTACTACTATGGCTGTGTTATTGCTGTCATTATTATTAGTTGTATGCCTTTTGGTCTTGTTCACCATTTGTGTTTAGGAAAATAAACACTCATTGAATGATTAAAGGAATCGCAGCTTCTCAATGGAAAAAAGCAAAGCAGATATGCTTTTCATACCATTAAGCCAGCAGTCTAAAAGGGAGGCTTTCTATTGGACTGCTTTAGTCACCTGAAGGTCATTGCTCTTTCCCTGAGTCCCACCCCTTACCCCCATCCAAATCTAGGTTGGTTAGTGGAGCTCACTAAAGAAAAAATGATCATTACAGTGCCAGATGTGGTGACATATGACTTTAATCCCAGCACTTGGGAGGCAGAGGCAGGTGGATCTCTATGAGTTGAGGTCAGCCTGGTCTACATAGCAAGTTCCAGACCAGCCAAGGCTATCTAGTGAGACCCTGTATCAAAAATATAAACAAATAAAAATAATCAACAATAACAACAAAAACCCATCTTCAGTTTGTCCATCCAGCAAGCAAGCAGCTATATAGATTTTCTTGTACCTATAAACAACTGGCTTGTGAGTAGATATTTTCACACATGAATTCCACTTAATAGTTTAAGTGCTTTCTGAATCGCTATGATTTAACTTTCATTTTTCTTACAATTCATTCTTTAAAATAGAGTTTTAGTTACACAGAGAGCATTTTCTGAATTGCTGATGTGACAGTAAGTCAGACAAATGATAAGAAAATATAATTTCCATATCTCAAAAATGACATCTTAAGCTGGGCGCTGGTGGCACACACCTTTAATCCCAGCACTCACTCAGGAGGCAGAGGCAGGCAGATCTCTGTTAGTTCGAGACCAGCCTGGTCTACAAGAGCTAGTTCCAGGACAGACTCCAAAGCAACAGAGAAACTCTGTCTTGAAAAACAAAACAAAACAAACAAACAACAAAAAAGAGACATCTTTACAAGGTGTAAAATAAACAAGCAAACTCATCACCAAAATATAACTGATCATTCCACTTAAATAGGAACCAAAAGCAGACTATTCAAGCTTGGAGAACCTCAACTTGAATAGAGACACAAGATTCAAAGAGATGGGGGCTGGGAAAATGCTCACTGGTTAAGAGCACTAGCCACTCTTCTAGAGCACACAGGTTGGATTTCCAGAACCCACGTGGTGGCTTACAACTGTCTGTAGCTTCAGGTTCTGGGGTTAACCTACTGCACGATGTTCCACCCCTGTGAAAGTATTCCTGGTGATCTTGGGGTGAATAAGAAAGCAGGCTGAGCAAGCTATGGTGAGTAAGCCAGTAAGCAGCCTTCCTCCCTGGTTTCTGCATCCATTCTTTTTGTTGTTGTTGTTTTGTTTGTTTTTGGTTTTGGTTTTTGGTTTCTCGAGACAGGGTTTCTCTGTATTGTTTTGGAGACTGTCCTGGAACTCGCTCTGTAGACCAGGCTGGCCTCAACTCACAGAGATCTGCCTGCCTCTGGCTCCAGAGTGAGCCACCAACGCTGGGCTAATTAGTTTGCTTTTGGGGTTTTGTTTTTGTTTTTGTTTTCAAGACAGGGCTTCTCTGTGGGTTTTGGAGGCTGTCTTGGAACTAGCTGTTGTAGACCAGATTAGCCTTGAACTCACAGAGATCTGCCTGCCTCTGCCTCCCAAATGCTGGGATTAAAGGTGTATGCGACCTCCATCCCTACCCCTACTCCCACCCCTACCCCTAGGTCCTGGAGGATACGACCCCCCTCTTCTGGCCACTGAGGGAACTGCATGCACATGGTGTACACACCCATATGAAGATAGAATATTCATACATGTAAAATTAAGTGTAAAAAGCAAACAAAACCCCAAATCAAAGTCAAAGTGATCTATACAAAGCAAAGCCAAGATAATTGGTAATGGAAAAGCTGTAAGAGCACAATTCTCCAGATTCTCTGTTCAGGAATGTAGTTCATCATTAATCAATTGGGAGGGTTTTTGCAATAGAGGTTTGAGAGATGGTACTCTTTACATTTACCCACACTACTTTTCCAAAATATATGCAATCTGATCTACATATGGAAGGTTTAAATACACTTATGGATGAACAATGTTCAACTCTGCTATTTCACTTAGGGACACGTACTCAAAACCTCACTTATAAGTAGTCTGTTCAAAATCTGGAATCCCTTTCCTTGCTGAAGGAATGCCTACCCAACTAGATAAAGATGAAATATGAATAGCACTCCAAGAAGTATCCAAGAGGGTCAAATCCTCTTCAGCCCTGGACCCTTGAAATAGCTGGATACCTCCGAGGGCTTGCTGAGAACACAGACTGTAAGCCAGTGCACACGAATTTCCAAAGTCATGGATTGCTTAAACTAAATAGGCTGGATTGAGGATAATAAGAATATCTGAAAACAGAACGCTTTGGGAGGAATCAGGGATGATAACCATGTCTTACCACCACCACCCCAATTCCCCTGGACATGGTGTTGAAAGGGTGAGTAAGGTATGAAGGGCATGACTATTTTGGAATCAGAATTTAACGTGTTTAGGAAGGAGGACGAGTTAATGAAAATCATCAAGTGTCTCCTCTCTCCCCTTACACTCCAGAGACAATCCCAATCTTTCTCAGCTGTCTCCCATAATCAGGCTCCCAGTTTGAGGCATTCATCAGTGGTGCAAATATACCGCTAGAAAAGTTTCCTAAGCATCTACCCTAAGAACAATTTTGTGAATTCTGGGTTGATTCCTCAAATCACCAAGTGCAGTCTGCCAGGGTATCTGTGCACGGAGAATCCGCAATTTGAGGTTTGGTGCCTTTAGCTTCAGGTGAATGTGAATGCCCCACTAACCCGTCTCCTAAGTAAATTAAGCATTTTCTCCACCGTTGGCTTCAATTTGCTGCAAAGAGGGGCTACTACTGAGAGGGGCTCAATGCGGAGAGCCGCTGGCTCACAGGATCCCTGCACCCCTTCCGCCCCTCTCGCCCCTCCCGCCCCTCCGGGGCCGCGCTCACCTAAGCGGCCACCGATGACAGTCACGGCAATCTGGTCCAGGAACACAGCCCGGAAGCGCACGTCCTGCTCGGAGCAGCGCTGGTGGAGCGCGCGCAGGATCTGCACCTGCGGGTAGTCCTCGCGGATGAGTCGGTCGGTCAGCAGCCAGACCTGCGCGCACATGGCGACTGAAGCGGCGGTCGCCCGCCCGCGCGACCCCCTGGCGCGTCCCGGGCGAGCACCGCCGCTCCACTCGCGCCGTGAGCCAGGCGCCTCTGCAGCCCCGGCCGGCGAATGCGCCGGATCGCCTCGCGCCGCCGCCGCCGCCACCGCCCAGCCAATCAGCGCGGCGCGGCGCCCGGAGAGGACGCGGTTGGGAGCTTGCGGAGATGCGCAGCCTGCGGCGGCCGGGCGGGGCTGGTACGACTCCAATCCTCCCCCCCAATATCCCCCCCCCCCCCAGAGCTCAAGGAACACAGGCAGGATGGGCGCGGCGCTGATCCCCAAGAAGGGCGCGACTGAGATGCTCCACCAGCCTCTTCCAAAGACGACTCCCAGCCTGGCAAGGTCACACGCCCGGGCTTCGCGGCTGGACTTCATCCTTAGAGGAGCGATTCGTCTGCCCTAATCTTGGCATGCAGCCTGAACTGAGAGGTGGAGGCAGTTGGGTCTTAGCAGCATCTCGTTAAGATAATTCGATGATGCTTATGCTTTTCTCCGGGTCTCGATTTCTTACACTGGGCATCCTCTCCCGGTTTGCACCAGGGTTATCATAACCTCGATGTCACAAAAACAGGTGTAAGAGCCCATTGAGTTAGGAGGACCATTGATGTGTGTGTGTGTGTGTGTGTGTGTGTGTGTGTGTGTGTCTCAGTCCACATCTTACTTCCCCTCCCCCCTACAACCCAGTTATCTTCACATGTTGTCCTTGGTCCTAGCTGTTTGCAAATTCTGCCTGCAAACAATAGTGTGAAACCTGTTATTTAATTCTTGAAAATAAATTAAATATATTTTTATTTATTGTGCACAACGTGGGCTGTTGGCATGCTACCAGGGCTTGCACTGGAGGTCAGAGGACAACTTTCAGGAGTTCCACCGTGTGGGTTCCAGGGTTCAAAGTCGGGTCATCAGGCTTGGCAGCAAACCTTTCCTCTCTGCGCCATCTCTCCAGCTCCAGCTAACACTTCTAAGTAACTATGGGATTGACTTTAGCCATTTGTGTTTCCAGCTCATTGAAACGTCTTTCTAAATTTATGCATCTATGGTGTGTGTTTGAGTTCAGGGGCACACGAATGCCACCAAGAGCTTGCTGGGCTCACAGAACAGCTTTTGGGAATGGGTTCTCTTTATGGTGGGCTTCTGAGATGTAATTTAGGTCACTATGTTTGTCCAACGACACTTTTACCTGCTCAGCCACCTTGCTGCCCTAAAACTTTTTTCTTTCTTTCCTTTTTATTTTATATCATTATTTTTTGCGAAAGGAATTTTATAGTTTCAAGCTCAAACTCAACAATGATATCTATAAACGGGCAGGACGTCTCAGATAAGGTGCCCATTCCACTTTGACTATCATGTCCACTAAGATACGACTCTGGAAAAGTTCTGTATGAAAGGATGTCCAGAACAAATTTTTTTTGCATCAATAAGGTTGGAACATCTCCTCCCTAGGCCCTAACTGTATTTTCTTAAAGTGACAGACCTGTGACCCAGTGCCTTGTAATTAGTGTTTTCAAAGAGAGTGGTCTAACTCTGGCTCTGCTCAGAAGCCAGAGGCTCTATCCTACCTCTGCTATTTCCTTGAGGTTGCATGGTTTTCCTGGATGGGGTGGGAAGAACACAGGGTCTCACTATGTAGATCAGGCTACCCTTAAGTTCATAGAGATCTTCGTGCCTCTGCCTCCCAAGTGCTGGGATTAAAGGCATGCACCACCATGCCCAGCTTTTACTGTTTTTGAGATAGGGTATCATGTAACTCAGACTGGCCTAGAACTTGCTATATGACTCAGAACTTCTGATTTTCTGACCTCCATCTCCTGAGTAGTGCGATTGCAGGCACAGGCTACCCTGCCTGTTTATTTTGTTTTGTTTTTCTTGCCTGTGGTGTATACTGTGTGTAGCCTTGTCCCTATAGGGCTTCTACAGAGTCATCCATTAGGTACTGTTAGAACTCCGAAAACTTTGAAATGGAAGGAAAGCAGAGACAAATTCTTTTCCAGACCTCCTGCCCTCATTACTATTATTGCCCTTTCTTCCTCAAGTTGGGGTATAGGAACCAGAACTCTTTTTTCCAGTGGAGGTCATAAAGTCTGGAACCCCTCTTCGTAGAGAGCAGCTGTAAAACCTAAAGATGTGCGGTATAAAAGGATACTGTTCTGCTGTAATGCCAGTGTTCCGACAGTTAAACCTCTCCTTTCCAGGTTCAACCTTCTTCAACAATAAGGGGAAGGCATTATTTATTTATTTATTTATTTATTTATTTATTTATTTTTGTTTTGTTTTTCAAGACAGGCTTTCTCTGTATTGTTTTGGAGCCTGTCCTGGAACTCACTCTGTAGACCAGGCTGGCCTCGAACTCGCAGAGATCTGCCTGCCTCTGCCTCCCGAGTACTGGGATTAAAGGCGTGTACCACCAACGCCTGGCTAGGGAAAGTATTATTGCATATAAACAAAACTGTGATAAGTGACCTCTACAGTCCATTCATTTAACTTCTCACCTATATCAGGGACCCAGATTTTTTCCCATGTTTCCACTTTTGACACCCCTAGTACAATGCCAGGGGTCACAACCACACAGCATCCAGCACAAGTCAAGACCGACACTTTCCATGTAGCCTTTTATGAGCAAGAAAGCCTTTCTCAGAAGTCCTCAGGCAGGTTTGCCACACCTAAGCCTGTCACTAGCATAAAATAATACCTCTCTACTTTCACGGATATAGGAACATTGTTTATTTACCCTGGCAAGAGAATACAGCCTCAGGTTACCCCATGACACAGACCGAGGAAGGTCATAAGCCAACACATTTAATGCATCAATGGAGTACTAAGTAGATGAGTTACAGCAAAGTGGAGACATTTTATATAGGCTTCAACTGTCAGTGCATCTTAGCTTTGGGTTACTGGAAGCGAGAGATATGTTCGTTTTAAAATACATCCCTATGCCAGGTGGTGGTGGCACACGCCTTTAATCCCAGCACTTGGGAGGCAGAGGCAGGTGAATCTCTGTGAATTTGAGACCAGCCTGGTCTACAAGAGCTAGTTCCAGGACAGAGTCCAAAGCCACAGAGAAACCAAACAAACAAACAAAAAACCATCCGTATGCTTTACCTAATAGTCAGAGGGTTTTAAGTCAGATGCAAAGGTTCAAAGTACATGAAAGGCCTAAGTTCTGGCTCCCAACTTGCAACATTCTATTTCTATGAGCTCTGCTCTGTTCTACCATGATGTTCTGCTCTGCCGAGGTCTGAGAGTTTGCAGGATTTTAAACAGAGATACGACTTCCTGGAAGAACTTCAGTTTCCCAGTAGGAAAGAAAGAGGATCCATTGCGCATAACTTCGGTTAGTGATAATCCTCCCCCTGTGTCTGGGAACTGGACTCATCTCCCTGTCCACACCGCCATGAGGAGGTAGATGAATGCTGGGGTGAGTTGTCTTAGGGGGAATGAAGGGAGACTGAATGCTGGGAAGACAAACTGTCTGGAGCACTGATGGCCTCTTATGGACACATTGACTCTTCAGCCTGGAACCTATACATGTGAGATGTACCCACATCTCTTCACTAGAGCAAGAGTGCCTGACTAAAAGTCTGACGTCAGTGGAATAAGGAGAGTATAATCCTTCCCTCAACAGCAGCAAACATGTCGAGACATTGCTACCAGTAGCCCAATCTGCTATAAATTCTGCTTTGCCAACCTTTTCTCTTTTCTTTAGGACTCCTAAGGGTACTATACACAAGAAAGAAATGGGATAGAAAGCAAGAGGTTGGGACAGGGGAGATGACTCAATTGACGAGACACATTCTCTGCAAGCACAGGACTTGCGTTCAAATCCCCAGTGCTCATGTAAAAAGCCAGGCAAAGCAACTCTCATCTACAATCCCAGTGCTGGGGAGGCAGAGACTGTGGGGTGCTCTGGGGTTTCCTAGCCAGTCAGTGTAGCCAAACCAATGAACTCTATCTCAAATAAATTGGGGATCAATTGAGGAATATCCTTGTCCTCCAACTTCCATACACATATGCACAGATGTGTACATGCACAGATAAGCAGGAATGCCACACGCATGTGTGGGCACACACACACACACACACACACACACACACACGGGAGGGGGGGTCAAAAATCATCTTATTCTCAGCTTAGCTAACAACACGTAACCTGCAGGGCAGAGCTCAGTCAGCAGGACCAAGTCCACACTTGGCAAATTTGGGGGCAGTATAGTTAGACTGCATGAAGGGAGAGGGTCATGCTTATGCAATCTGTGAAGCAGACCAGCATTTTGGTTTGTTTTTTAAATGTGGACCTTGTTACGTTGCCAGACTAGTCTTGGACTCTTGGATTCAATGAGCTCCTCCCATCTTGACTCCATCGTAGCTAGATATATGTGCATAGTGTCCAGCCAAGCCCTAACAGAGCAGCCCTGTTTTACTCAGCTGAGCTGGTGCTATTTGGAGACCTATTTGTGTGGTACAGAGAATAATCTATGATATCCATATTATCAGTTTTGAAGTGTTATTTTAAGTATACAGCAAACCAATGTAAAAGAATTAATAACAAGTAGCTGACAGACAGACAGACAGACAGACAGACAGACAGCAAAACTTTGTAAAATGCGTTGCTCAAAGCATCCAGCAGAAACAATGGAGGAAGCCCTGTTGAGGCAGCCAACCAGAGTTGCCAGCAGAGAGTCTTGGGCAGGGCAGGGCATCCCCTTGTTCCCTAGGGTAAGGCTTCCAAGTAAAGGAAAAACAGTCACAGCGAGAGAGTTACGAGTTCTGCTTCCTGCAGAAACTGTGAAGGAAGTAGAGTCAGTCAGCCTGAGTTCCCGATGCGGCTTCCCATAGCTGGACTTCCCATGCTGGATTTCTCTTTCTCCCACAGGCGCGTGCGCATCGAGGGACAGACACCAGTAACCTCTGTTGGAGACAGTGTTCCTTCAACTGTTCTCAAGGGCACATTGCTTCCTCTCTTGATCTCTTCCTTCTTTGTGGCAGGGTTCAAAGGATGGGCCAGCCCATCCTGGACAGCGGACCTTGGGAAACATTTAACACAGACATGTTTAGGT